TATATTCTATTCCTCTTCTTCTATCTCTTGTCTCTCTTCCTCTCCTTCTCTCAATCTCATTCTTGTTTTGTTGTATTTTAGGTTAATTTGGTAATAAAGCAACTCATTTTCCTTAGACCAAACAAATTTTGTATTCAAATTCAAAACTTATACACACATATCAATAACCACCTTCAACCACCCAAAATTTCACCAACCACAACATCTAAAATGAAGAAAATCTATCGACAAAAGAGGGATTTTTCTTGCTTTGTTTTAGCTTTGACTTTTTATTACAAAAAATCATATTTTTCCTTTATTACATATACTGAGATTGTTCACTAGCAAATCAATAATTAGTAGGTTTTATTGTTACTTTGTTTAAAAATCAACAAAAACCGAAAGACACAAAATTGTTCCTTGCCTTAGTTGTTGTTATTATTATAGTGCACATTGATGCAGTCTGATCAGGGTCTCGCCTTAAATACTGAATGTTTGGACAATGATTTTACCTATTCTTAGCTCATTTCAGTATAAACTTTTTACTATCATGATAATGTACGTTGTTCAAGTATTTGGCTTATCATTTTAATTTCTTCTTTTAGAAAAATATTAATTAAAAATTTACTTATACTTTGAGTTGTCAATTGCTCATTCCTCTTTAAAAAAAATGAAAACTTTATATTATGTTATTTTGTTAGAATTAATCTAGACAAAATATTCACTTTGATTCGATTATAGAATTTTGTTCCTATATTGTGTGTGAGCAAAGTGATATTTTGCAATGGCATGAAAAGTTCATAATATTTACGCATTATCACGTTTACTTCTCAAACTTTTTCATCATATTCTTATTCTCAAATTAAAATAATTTGTTCCTAATTATGGTTTCTCTACAAAATATTATTTAAGATAGAGTAAATGACCTATTTGCCCATTTTAAGCAAAATAAATGATAATGCAAAAATGCGATTAAATATTTGACCTTCATATTAAAGCACGTTAAAAATATTTTTGGACAAAAATCATGATTAAGGACAAAATTTTCTTATCAATGAAATGTTGAAAATAAGAATGTGATAAAGAAAAAAGTTAAGAATATAATTGTCATTAAATTTACTTAAATACGAAAGAATAAAATCAAATAAAATTTATCACTTTAAATTTGTCCACTAATATTTAACCTCATTAAATTCGTTTAGGCTTCCTATATTTTTTTAGATTTTACGTTAAATTTAAATTCTAATATTTATAAAACATATTTTTCAATTAAAGTCAAAACAAATATATATAGACATAATAATATATGAAAAAACTTTAAAATTATAAGAATTATCTTTTATTTTTGAATTTATGTCAATGATTCTTGATGATTAACTTTAATGGTCTTGATGATGCCGTGTCATTTCCTAATTGGCTTGATGATCTTAAAAAGAGAAGTAACTCCGGTCGTAATTATCATACTAATATGTCACTTATCGAATATATGTGTTACTTAATATGTTAATTAATAATTAAATCATATTATTGTTACTAATTATTTATTTAGGGAAATTGAACATTTGGTTCTCAATCTTTAAAGATTGTTACTTATTCGTCCTCAAACTACAAAAGTGGTTGTAAAGATCCCCCAACCTTTAATGTTTTTAGAAAATTTATTACCTTCACACAATTTCCTTCTAAATTCGAATTTCTATTAAATTATGGCATGGCAGTTTTTTGTCGACATTTCTAAAAGTTAAGGTCCTCAACAAACTCAATAAACACTATTTCTCTTTAAGATTAACTAAATTATTTTATTTTATTTATTTATTTATTTATTTATTTTGGTTTTAGAGGGCATGTTTTCCTTTGATCTATTATGACATAATAATATAATATTAAGTACAACCTATCATTTGTAACTTATGAGATTTTATACTTAATAAACTTTATTTACCTTAAAGAGAACAAAAACATTATGAAATCTATACCCAAAATTTCTTCTAAGTATTAAAATATAATGCTATCAATAATTGTACTAACCTTCCTACTTGTCTATCCAAAGTCGCAGGAAGCTTCGAGGGAATAATAGGACATATGAGCATTAAATACTTTGTCTAATGTCAACTTTGTATCTAGACATAAATAATCACCATTTGGCCCAAGATAAGACTTGTTACAATTAATAATAAAAATGACAAATGATACGTTTTTCTTAAAACGCGTCTGAATAGTAAAATTCAACATTTTTAATATTGTCTAGTACTGTATTCAAATATATTGTATTTTGAAGCATAATGATAGGCCTATTTTTGTTGTTTTCGTAGTTTCGTCAAGTTTCGTTTTCTTCGTTGCATACTAATTTTAAGACGCAGTGCACTTGGGAAAATTCCTAGACCCTATCGCCGTAACGAATTATATATTTGAATGTCATTATATTTCATTTGTAGACCAGGAACAATCAACTTGAAAAATGTAACTTGACTCGATTTTAGTTATAGTGCATTTTTTTCCTATAGATATGTTAAATAAATAAACTATCCACCGTTCATTATTATAGATATTTTTGAGTGGGTTTAAAATAATATTTAATATGTGACAATGACAACGGAGCTAATCACTTGATTCCATTATTTGGGTCAACTTCAAAGGAACGTACAATCCATTCGAATCTGACCCAAGTAACAGTGTAACATAGGGTCTGGCCAAATTTCGATTTGATTTGATTGATCTAAGGTTTGAGTTTTATTAAAGATTGAACTCCAATCTTGAAGGTCTCTACATTCTTGCTGCTAGAACTTTGTGAGGGAGATAAATCGCTGGATGTGTTCTAACAGGCTAGGGAACAAGAGTTGCCTGTACGCTGCGCTTATAAGGAGTTCAATTCCATATTTCAAGAATCAAACCCCCACACTGCGACTGTCAGCAATGTGTAAGATAACCTCACTCATATCCTTTGCAACACTAGACTATGCTCCGAGGGGCATAAAGTTTGAGTTTTATTAGTTGTATGATGGTGTATTATAATTATATATCTATCAATTCGATTGAATTCATTTAAAAAGATATTTAATTAATTGTTGCCATTGAAGTTGAATTATTCAATATCTCTTATTGAATTGTGTCTATTTCAAGTTTAATTTTTCAGTTTATTGTTGAATGGCTATGTGTATGTTATTTTTTCCAATAATATTTAAAACATGTCCCTAAATTCAATAAGTTGGCCGGCACAAAACGTTAAAAAAAAGAAAAAGAAACTTAGGATTGCTAAGGTACCTTCAGTTAATGATGATGGTATTGCAGTATTTTCTCTTTCTCCTTCTTGCTTTCCTCAGTATCCGCTCCGTATTTTCCTTTGCAGCCTCCATTGAATAATTTCCTACATCTGACCAACAGAGGGATATGTGGAATAATTAGAACAAAGACATAAAGGCCAAAGGAAAAAAGATATAGGATATTCGTGCACCAAGTAATCAAAGAGATCTGATCTGGCCTAGCGACGATTTTATTATTTACTAATTGAATCATTTTTTTCTAGAAATAAAAGACATCTAAATCATGACAGAGATATATTCGTCGACAAGATAAAGAAACCCCCTCACCCCACCCAAGGCCATGGCATCAACATGGTAAAAGCATAACAAACTCTTTGATTAAGAAATCACGTGTTGATATCTATGTGCTTGTTTATATAACTTGATCAATTATTGTCAATGGTCCTATCATGTATTTCTTGTAAAGTACTCCTTTTAAAACTTCATTCTGATTTCTAAAACCACACATTTGCAAAGGCCTATTAATCGAATTCAGAAAGGAGATACTTTAACAACCAAAATATTGTTTCAACCGTCAAGCTATAGTTTAATACTAGTGTCCAAAATGTTGACCTAACGAATTTAACTGAAAAGAACATCTAAAATCAGTAGCAGCAAAGAACCGTAGTAGAGTTACCTGTTCCTTTTTCTTCAAGTAAGCAGGAAAAACCTTCATCAATTTCCTCATCTGATTCAATGACAACTCTGCATTCCCGCTCCTGCATCAATATATTTAATATTACCTAGGACAGGTTCTATTGTCGAACAAAAAGCTTTAAATTTTAAAGTTATGCATATATAATTATAGATTATTCAGACTGGCATCCAAGCAAATAGTCACTTCAACATACTATAACTAAACATATCAAATTTTTTATGGATTTCTATTTCATGTTACACGTGCTAGTGGATAAATATTGAAACAGACCATAACAATTTCATGGAGAGGAAAAGAGAAGAGGGCCAATAAAAGCTACCAGTTGAGTAGGTGACACTTTTATCTTGCTACTCCTCTTATTGTGATTTTCAACTTTGGAAGCTGGTTGTTTGTGTTTTACTGATGTCCAGCCTCCCATTTCAACCTTTGGTGCTGAAGCGGCTTGCTGTGCTTTTGAAGGAATCGTTGCACTTGAACAACAAAAACATTCTAGTTACAAAGGAAAACCTTGGGCAAAAAATAAAATAAAATAAACACCTCAAATTTTATCAGAAGATTGATTATTACTGCGAAGGCCAGTGAAGTGAGGGCAAACATAAACAGAAACTTTTCGTATAAAGGAAGTTATCATAAAAATAAAACAATATGATACAGCATAAGAATATTTTATAAATTGTATAATGAGCAGATAATAACATAGCATTTTGTTCAAAACAAGGTACTCAGCTGGACCTGACCGCTTCTTTTCAGTTCTGCATTGCCATTTAACTTTCATTTCTTGATAATGGAATCACATCCATGGTTTTAGCCTTTTTGCTCCATGCAAAATCATGTATCATTCTTAATTTTTTTGTTTTCGAAGGTAGATCATTCTTATTTAGTCATTTTGATAGTAAACATTCCATAATAAAAATAGAAAGTTGTTGGGAAAGCCTGTTGGAGGGATGGGAGCATTTAATGAATCAATTCAATTTAGACATGCTTCAGGTTCTTAATAACTATGACTTAAAAAATCTTGAAGTGTAGGAACAGCCTGCAAAAAAAAGTCTTAACTCTTATGTAACCATTCAGAAAGGAAAGAAATAAGTAAAATATTGGTAGTGCAGGAACCCGAGGTGTTTAATGATAAGGAAAACAAGACTTAAAAGTTCATTCTTCTGGAGAAAAAGTAGAATGGACAACAGTCATTGAAGCTTGTAGAACTGGCCACGACACAACAGTCCTCGGATTAATGGTTTTGCTCAGCATGAAACACTTCAAGGGAGATTGCTGGTATGTATATATTTACCTAAATATCTCTTACAATCCTAATGGTAATGTTAATAGAAGTACTTATTTCATAGAGTTCCTGTCAAAAAACCACATATGTCAAATGCTGAAGTGGTTCGAAACGAAGAGGTCTGGACCATAACGTATCTAACAGGGCTCTGTGCAGTGTGAAGTTGTAGAATAAAAAATTTGAGTTAAATTCTTAAGAACATACCTCATTGGAAGCTGCATTTCCAGAGAGGGGGCATGACCGCTGACACCCTACAAATTTAGTAAATAAGAAAAGTTTCAGGTAACATGCTTCAAGACACCTAAAGCACTTATAATGACAGAAATTCTCCAGTCTAATGGGAAGAAGAAGTACTTTTTGAGCATGGATTGGAAGAGTCGATTGTTTTTGTGTAGAAATCTTCATGCTGCAAGCCATTGTCTACAAGGAGTTGAATTATAAATAATAAGAAAATCTTCCAGCACAAATGGCTGTCCCGATACAAAGTTCAGCAGATGTCCACTGAAGATCATAAAAACATGCTCTCCGGAATTCTGAACTGCAAGCTACCTCAAATTAAAAAATTTACATACCTTTATTTCTTTGGTGAAGGTTTCATGGAGATAATTTTGTAATTTCATGATCTGAGTGTCAAATTTCTCTGATAGAGCTGAAATCACTGAGAATATATCCTTAAAATTCTCTTGATTTATATTTTGCTTGAGTTGATCTGACAGATATTTAAAGCCGCCATCAACACTAGCTTTTATATCTTCTTGTCCTTTGTTCTGGTTTCCATATAAAGTAGTTCTTGAATTAGAAAACATCATTTCACATCTATAACAGAGGAATACCTGGAGAGGGTCTCTGGGGGATGGCTAAGGTTTAGTTACCATTAACTGCAGCAAGTCATCATGAACAATCAATTTCTGCCGTATGCTTTCCGCTGAGCAACAATTAGAAAAAAATAAATAAATAAATAAAAAATTTGTCACAAAACTTATAACAGAGAGAACATCTAACTGCTTCAATTTTTTCTTCTCGTCATTTATGTATTCTACTACACCAATCCTGACTTTTTCATATTTGAGGCATATCTACTTCATCTAGAATGTACGGCATTAGAAGTGCAGTACCATCATAAGCCTGCGTCCAGAACATGTAACTACTGCCTTTAACATGTAATGAATTTAACACTCACTGTTCAGTGCTATTTCTTTTGTGTCCTTGTTAACTTTCACGATGTCACTCTGAACAGATTCCAAAATCATACCAAATCTGCTTAATGAAGTTTCCACCATTCCGATTCTGTGCTCAATATCTTCACTGGTTTGGCCTGCTTGTACAAAATCAGATAGAAGCTTAGCTCAATGACTTGCAAATCCACAGATGATGTTTCGTTTAGTACAGATGAAAAATTCTACAAAATTAAACCATTGGGATTTTTATAGTTTCAAGGTTGAAAGTTTTAAAGAATTTAATGTATTCACACCTGAAAGTGACAAACAAGCTGATAGTAGCTATTGAAAATCTCTAAAAATTAGTAAAACCTACATTTGTACTCGGGAACTGACCACTTGCGCATTAAATTGCTGGAAGATCTTGATATCTGCATTTGACTGTCTTCTCGTGTGCAATTGGTTGGAGGTAAAATAGAATTCCTCTTCACCGAATTCTCTCTTTCTTGTGATACTAATCTCTACTTGTGAAAAATAAACACGGGTAAGCTATATGCAGGAGATAAGACCAAGAAAGGTTGTCAAGAGTCAAAAAGAGCAAGTTTTCTTTCTACTCTTTTCTTTTCTTAGTCTCTCTTCACTGAAAAGTTTAAAAATGTATTCAGTTGGAAAATATTAACAGCTCCACGAGCATTATCATCCACAAGATACATTCAAATCATTTTTCTCTCATGTGATAATGTTTGAAGAGAAAAGAAATTCTGCCTAAAAGTTTGTAACTGTATTTTCCGAAGTTATTTTGGTCCTGTAGAAAGTTGATGCAGGTACGCCATAATTCCCCTTATAAATTTTGCACCAATACTGAAGCATTCACTTTTGGCATATGAAAGAAGAAATGAATTTTAGGATAAGGCAATACAATGAATTAGGAACTCTATCAATCTCTTTTCAGGTCCTTTCACAATAATGACTCCAGAAAATTGCATAGGAAAATCTATAATTATACTTTACAACGCAAACAAGTGAAAACTACTACATGTATTCAAACCTACCTCCTTTTATAAGTATATCAATTAGAATGTATAAGGGAATTACCATCAGGAACAATAACACAAACACTTTTATCTCTAGTCGGGAAAAATATACTAGAAAAATTGATCTCCTTCAACTATCTCATTAAAATCTCAGATCCAAGTCTCACAGATGTAACATATAAACACGACATATACCAGTTCGTTTGTTAGGGCTTCCTCTTGAGAATTTTGCGAGAACTGGGAAAATACACCATGCTGAGACGAAATTCCCTGCGAAAATGACTGCTGCGATTGATGTAGTTGCTGCTGATGTGATCTCAACTGCAGTGGGGCTTGGCTTTTCCCAAAAATGGACGAAGACTCTGGCCCACTCTGTCCTGCACTCGATCTCCTTTTAAATTCATCAGAACGTCAATAAAATTAGGAAAGGCTTTCTGTATCAAAATTAAAAGTAACACTCTTACACGCATAGACTTAACATGTAAAAGCATATACGTTTACTATTATGTTCATTTAGATTAATCTATCATGCATTCAACCTAAGAGATTATAATTTCATCAGTTTGAATTGTTTCTGTAGTACAACATTGTGCATTATTCTGTTTTTGATAATTATATCAAATTTACCTTGTCAAAATTGTTCAAAACTCGAATTACTTATGAAATGTGAATTATATGTCCGAACCTAGAGTGAGGAGGAAGAACAGAGATGGAACTGAGATCGCATGCTTTGTTGATCTTCAGCTTCATTTGTGGATGGCAAAGTCAATTCCGAAATCTCACAGCTGCTTGAACGAGACTAGAATTGAATGTGCGAAATTGATTAGAGATTAGAACCTGTATGGTTTGTAAATTGTAAACAAATTAAAACAATTACTGGAAACGATGAAAATTTGAGCTACGCTATGAATTTTGCTGGGATTTGAGTGGTTTTGGAGTGTTGATTTACCGAAGTGCTGAAAGCGTCGAACGGGCGCGAAATTGGGGGTCTTGAATGGCTTTTATAGGAGAAGGTTTGGACACAGGATAAAGTGGCGGGAAATGGGCTATGTGGAATCTTTGGGCCAGAATTGCCTTCTTGTGGATTAATTAGGTGCCTTCTTGTGGATTAATTAGGTTACCAATTTCTTTACTCTTTAAATATAAATTGCTCTTTATGTTAGAAAGTCTATCGTTAAAATTATGATCTCTATTATAAATAAAATACTACTCAAAAATAAAGGGTTGGTGGAGATACTTTTAGAGGTACAAAACGAATTATCTGATTAGAGATGGATCATAGTTGGCTTATTTAAAAGTTGATGAGATCCGTAGACCTGTGTTTCAGAAATAGTAGTAGACACATTAGAAATTCGATGAGAACATGTCCTCCACATTATATATTGAGTTGATATGAAAAGTTGCATTCATGGCATTATAAACTTAAGTATTTTCAAAGGAGGAAGAATGATGATGTGGAAAAGAAGAGAAGGTCTTAGACCTAGTGTTAGTAATTTAAATAAAGCATCGACTAGGTCATTGTTATCGAATTCACTAATTTGAAGGTTTTAGATGGGAAAATAGTTCGAATGGGCCAATGACTTTAGGGTTCCATTCATTTTATAGGCTAAAAGTCAAAGTAGTTGATCCAATAATTTGAATATTAATAGAAGAATCTCAAATAAACAGCCATCTACAAATGTCAATTCATTTAAGGAAGAAAATGCAACCATCCTTTCCTTTGCCATCTGTTCTGTAAAGACTATAGTTTGACTCGATACAACTCAAAGATCATATTTCTACATATATTAGAATAGCGAACTCCATAACCAGAGGATTTTTATGTTTTATTTTTAGGATAAATTAAGTTCACAGGGCTACACTTTTTATTAATAAAGAAAGAAATATAGTATAAGGAGTGGGTAACTTTTGTGTTGACCTTAAGATCACCAAGTTATATGCAATTTATGTTGTATCTTTTCTTTGATTTCGTCTTTGCCCGCTTGACTATTTCTTTGTTTTATCAAACTCGAGCCTTCTTTGTCTTCTTTCCTGAAAATATTCTATTGTAACAACACCTTACACACCCGATCTTCTGTGATGTCTCTCAATTGGTCACGAACTTTGACATGATGAGTCTTAAAAGTGGTTCAAGATCCGATTTCATCGTGCGTTGTCCTAATTTGCAAATGGATACAATTCCATTTTAAGATGATGTAATATTCCTTGTTTCACTTGCTCGACCCAATTAGCAAAATAGTCCAATCCTTTTAAATCCTTTAAATTAGAATTCTTGTCTCTCTCTCAGAATTGGTTGTTTAAGAAGAGCCCGAGTGCAACATTAACAGCAAAATGTTGATGATATTAGGAGAGAAGTTTCGGTAAGAAAGCTTTATATGTATATGTACCGTATGTACACTAATCATGACATCTCAAACCTCGAACACTGAAATCACGACATTTGAGAGGATCTATGCACTCACTTTGTTCTCTCTCTCTTACTACTTGAGATGTTGAGGCATCATAATTTGAGTGGCTAGAAGTTCGAGATGTCATGATTTGATTAAAAGGTTCTCCTACGTATATGATGTGGAATGAATATGAGAATAAATATAGGATCTAGATATGACTTTAAATTAATATTATGTTTATTTTCATTAAATTAGTGTATTATAGTAACCTGGTTTGACTAGAATTAGATTTTTAATCTCTTCTCAATGGTATCCTCTTCTTCTATCTCTTGTCTCTCTTCCTCTCCTTCTCTCAATCTCATTCTTGTTTTGTTGTATTTTAGGTTAATTTGGTATTAAAGCACCTCATTTTCCTTGGACCAAACAAATTTTGTATTCAAATTCAAAATTTATACACCCACATCGATAAACCACCTTCAACCACCCAAAAATTTCACCAACCACAACAACATCTAAAACGAAGAAAATTTATCGACAAAAGAGGGATTTTTCTTGCTTTGTTTTAGCTTTGACTTTTTATTACAAAAAATCATATTTTTCCTTTATTACATGTACTAAAATTGTTCACTAGCAAATCAACAAAAATCGAAAGACACAAAATTGTTCCTTGCCTTAGTTGTCGTTTTTGTTGTTGTTGTTGTTATTATAATAGTGCACATTGATGCGGTTTGATCAGGGTCTCGCCTTAAATACTGAATGTTTAGACAATGATTTTACCTATTCTTAGCTCATTTCAGTATAGACTTTTTACTATCATGATAATGTACGTTGTTCAAGTATTTGGCTTATCATTTTAATTTCTTCTTTTAGAAAAATATTAATTAAAAATTTACTTATACTTTGAGTTGTCAATTGCTCATTCCTCTTTGAAAAAAATGAAAACTTTATATTATGTTATTTTGTTAGAATTAATCTAGACAAAATATTCACTTTGATTCGATTATAGAATTTTGTTCCTATATTGTGTGTGAGCAAAGTGATATTTTGCAATGGCATGAAAAGTTAATAATATTTACGCATTATCACATTTACTTCTCAAACTTTTTCATCTCATTCTTATTCTCAAATTAAAATAATTTGTTCCTAATTATGGTTTCTCTACAAAAGATTATTTAAGATAGAGTAAATGACCCATTTGCCCATTTTAAGCAAAATAAATGATAATGCAAAAATGCGATTAAATATTTGACCTTCATATTAAAGCACGTTAAAAATATTTTTGGACAAAAATCATGATTAAGGACAAAATTTTCTTATCAATGAAATGTTGAAAATAAGAATGTGATAAAGAAAAAAGTTAAGAATATAATTGTGACTAAATTTACTTAAATACGAAAGAATAAAATCAAATAAAATTTATCACTTTAAATTTGTCCACTAATATTTAACCTCATTAAATTCGTTTAGGCTTTCTATATTTTTTTAGATTTTACGTTAAATTTAAATTCTAATATTTATAAAACATATTTTTCAATTAAAGTCAAAACAAATATATATAGACATAATAATATATGAAGAAGACTTTAAAAATATAAGAATTATCTTTTATTTTTGAATTTATGTCAATGATTCTTGATGATTAACTTTAATGGTCTTGATGATGCCGTGTCATTTCCTAATTGGCTTGATGATCTTAAAAAGATAAGTAACTCCCGTCGTATTTATCATACTAATATGTCACTTATTGAATATAGGTGTTACTTAATATGTTAATTGATAATTAAATCATATTATTGTTACTAATTATTTATTTAGGGAAATTGAACATTTGGTTGTCAATCTTTAAAGATTGTTACTTATTCGTCCTCAAACTGCAAAAGTGGTTGTAAAGATCCCCCAACCTTTAATGTTTTTAGAAAATTTAGTACCTTCACACAATTTCCTTCCAAATTCGAATTTCTACTAAATTATGGCATGGCAGTTTTTGGTCGACATTTCTAAAAGTTAAGGTCCTCAACAAACTCAATAAACACTATTGCTCTTTAAGATTAACTTAATTATTTCGGTTTTTAATTAATTTTATTATTATTATTATTATTATTATTATTATTATTATTATTAGAGGGCATGTTTTCCTTTGATCTATTATGAAATAATAATATAATATTAAGTACAACCTATCATTTGTAACTTATGAGATTTTATACTTAATAAACTTTATTTACCTTAAAGAGAACAAAAACATTATGAAATCTATACCCAAAATTTCTTCTAAGTATTAAACTATAATGCTATCAATAATTGTACTAACCTTCCTACTTGTCTATCCAAAGTCGCAGGAAGCTTCCTTCGAGGGAATAATAGGATATATGAGCATTAAATACTTTGTCTAATGTCAACTTTGTATCTAGACATAAATAATCACCATTTGGCCCAAGATAAGACTTGTTACAATTAATAATAAAAATGACAAATGATACGTTTTTCTTAAAACGCGTCTGAATAGTAAAATTCAACATTTTTAATATTGTCTAGTACTGTATTCAAATATATTGTATTTTGAAGCATAATGATAGGCCTATTTTTGTTGTTTTCGTAGCTTCGTCAAGTTTCGTTTTCTTCGTTGCATACTAATCCTAAGACGCAGTGCACTTGGGAAAATTCCTAGACCCTATCGTCGTAACGAATTATATATTTGAATGTCATTATATTTCATTTGTAGACCAGGAACAATCAACTTGAAAAATGTAACTTGACTCGATTTTAGTTATAGTGCATTTTTTTCTTATAGATATGTTAAATAAATAAACTATCCACCGTTCATTATTATAGGGATCATGCTACATGTACACAATCTTTTACACACTACTCACAACATAAAGTGGGGACTACAGCTCGAATTATTTAATAACAGGTGGGACCCGTATGTTTATGAGGGGGTGTAAACCATTTGGTAACCCCCTTGTGTGTACATACATCTTTATACTTATTATAGATATTTTTGAATGGGTTTAAAATAATATTTAATATGTGACAATGACAACAGAGCTAATCACTTGATTCCATTATTTGGGTCAACTTCAAAGGAACGTACAATCCAGTCGAATATGACCCAAGTAACAGTGTAACATAGGGTCCGGCCAAATTCCGATTTGATTTGATTGATCTAAGGTTTGAGTTTTATTAAAGGTTGAGCCCCAACCTTGAGGCCTCTACATTCTTGCTCCTAGAGCTTTGTGAGAGAGATAAATCGTGGGATGTGCCCCAACAAATTAGAGAACAAGAGTTGCATGTACACTGTGCCTATAAGGAATTCAATTTCATGTTTCAGGAATCAAACCCCCACACTGCGACTGTCAGTAATGCATGAGATAACCTCACTCATATTCTTTGCACCACTAGGCTATGTCCCGAGGGGCCTAAAGTTTGAATTTTATTAGTTGTATGATGGTGTATTATAATTATATATCTATCGATTCGATTGAATTCATTTAAAAAGATATTTAATTAATTGTTGCCATTGAAGTTGAATTATTCAATATCTCTTATTGAATTGTGTCTATTTCAA